TATGTCTCTGCCTCTCTCTCTCTCTCTCTCTCTCTCTCTCTCTCTGTGTGTCTCTGATGAATAAATAAATAAAATCTTAAAAAAAAAAAACTCTGGAAAGTGCACAACCCTTCACCGCATGATGAATTTGCCAGATCAAGTACAGAACAGTGCAGGCATCTAGAGAGGCTGCTGGTTTGTAGACGCTCATTTAGAAAGTCTTGTTTATGTGAATTAGCGAATCATCCATGAGATTCAAGACCCGCAAGGAGCCAAAGGGCACAGGGCAAAAACCCATCTTCCTGCCGCATCCCCAGGACCTCCAGTTCCCCAGCTGGAGGATCCCGCAGTCGCTGATTCTTCCATCCTCAGGGAAATACATTTGTATACTCTTTACACCTTTTCTTTCTTTTTTTTTTTTTTAAGTATTTATTTAACAGAGCACGATTCAGGGTGGTGGTGGCGGGGGGGCGGGGGGAGGAGAGGGAGTGTGGGGCTCGATCCCAGATCCCTGGCGTTGTGACCTGAGCCAAAGGCAGACGCTTCACCGACGGAGTCACCCAGATGCCCCTCTTCTCACCTTTTCAATAATAATGCTGGCACACCTTGTCTGCCGTTCCACATCTTGCTGGTCTGCTTCATGATACGTACTGCTCACAGGCTGTACAATTCACCACGTGAAGAGCACGACTCAGCGGTTTCTGCACACTCACGAGGGTCGTGCCACCCCTGCCACCGTGGAGGTGAGAACATGCTGCTCCCTGCAGTCTGCTGTCACGGCGGCATCGTACCCCACGGAGTGCTTGAGCTCTTCCCACACTGGCTTCCTATGGACCCACCAGCACTTTCAACACACCCAGGAGAGATGGGGTGGCCTTGACACCCATTTCCTGCTTCCCTGGGGTGTGTGTGTCTAATTTCAACCCCAAACGCTCATTACGCTGGGAACTCTGCTCATGTGTGGGCTACTGGATGATGGGGGATGGCAAGCGGCCGCTACGTCCACTCACTGCATCCGCGCGTTCTGTAGCCAGCAGGAGCCCATGAGGAGGAAGGCAAGGTCGGGGCCTCCGTGTGTGCGGCCCCGTGAAGGGGGTTGGCAGTGGGGCACCACGGGAGAGGCTACAGGTGGCTGGGGAGGGGTCACATGCCCAGGTACAGAGCAGGACAACCCTGTCCTCATCTGGACGCTGCTGACCAGCAGGGAGCCTCCCACCATGGAGAGAGGCTGATGCTGCCAGGCTCTCACCCTCTATGTTCTAGAAACAGCTCCTGGCCAGGGACTGCCTCGCCTACGACTAGAGGACACACAGCAGTGACGAGGATGGACACTGGTCCTTAAACTCCCTCTGTGCCTTGGCACTGATGAGAAGAACGGCTTGACACCTACCCCACGGTCCACAGGAGCTAGATGCCCCCCCCTTTTTTAAATAAAAGATTTTATTTATTTATTCATGAGAGACAGAGAGAGAGAGAGAGAGAGAGGCAAAGACACAGGCAGAGGGAGAAGCAAGCTCCATGCAGGAAGCCTGATATGGGACTTGATCCCAGATCCCAGATCCCAGGATCAAGCCCTGAGCTGAAGGCAGATGCTCAACCGCTGAGCCACCCAGGGATCCCCTAGATGGCCCTTAACCAGACTGTGGCTTGGCCTCCCTTCCTCCCCAGACCCCCGCCCTGGGCCCCCTCAGGGCGAGCCAGCAGACAGCGTCCGGGTGGGGAACCTGCTCTCCTGGCCCCCACAACTCCGCTGCCCTCTGCCCACACCCACCTGGGTCCCTCCAGGAGAGAAACCCTGGCCTGTCCCCCGAGCTGGAGCAGGGCTCTTTTCCAACTGCCGCAGCCCAGCCCTTCCAAATACAGTGTCTCCTTACTTAGGCCAGACATGGGTTTTACTGGACGAGTTCCTCCCTGTGGGATTCGCAGCCCAGAAACCAAAGAGCAGCGGCTTCCATGGGAGAAGTCTGGGCTCAGCCTCACCCCCCAACACGGCTCTGTGAGCGCAGGACAGAGCTGTCCACCTGGGCGCCGGAGCCCGAGAGATGTCGCCACAGCCATTTCCAAAAGGTGGAGAGGAACAGGATGGGGCGGGGGGGGCAGTCACATCTGGGGACACCCTCCCGCTGCCCTGGATGCCCAGGAGGACCAAGCTCGGCCCCCGGGAAGCCTGGGCGAGTGTTCACGGCTACAGAAGTCAGCCGCCTGCTTGTGTAACGACGTGGAGGTGGCTCAGGAACTGGAGTGGTGGGGCTGACCTCGGGGCCTGGCTTCACCCACACGCCAACTTTCCCAGCCTCAACTGGGAGCTGTGCAAGGGCTGGATACGGTGGCCTCCCCCGGGAGGGACAGGCAAGCCTGGCTGGGCCCACAGGAGCACAGGGCGCCTCGCTACCTGCTCAGAAGTGTGGGGACCACAGGATGGCCAGGTACAAACCCACGCCTCGACTTCAGGTCCCAAGCCCTCCTTCAAGGGGGGAAAGCCTTCCCAGGGCCACATGCCATGTCCAGCCAGCCTGCAAAGAGGCTGCTGAGGTAAAGGAACCTTTTGGAACCTTCCATGCCCTCTCTGACCCAGGCTGGATTCGTTCTCCTGGGGAAACTGGTAGAGACTTGTTCTATGAGCGATCTGCTCACCCGGGGCATTGCATGTGTGCTCTTAAGCCTTTGACTTGAATCACACAGTTGAGCTCCTGCTTGCAGGATTAAGCCACCCTTCGGCTAAGAGAGAAGGATCTGGGTCTTGCCTGAACTGGATCCCGAGAGGTACAGAGGGCAGCACTCTGCCTGCTTGGCATGCAGGAATTCAGAACTCTCTGGCTGCCGGGTGAAGGGCGCCTGGGCCCCAGGGATACCTCGGTGTGGGCAGCCCCTGTGTGTCCGCCTGATTCCATGGGGTCTGCTCCAAAGGACGTGGGCTCGGCCCCTTCCATCTTCATCATCCCTGGAGGCCGTTGTCGGGGGGGGGGGGGCAAAGACTCACGAACTCTGGGGGCCACCGAAGTGCAAAGTGTGCTGTATTGGGGATGCTCAGGAAGGGTCTTGTCTGGAGCCAGGCACACGCCCAGAGGGAGCACGAGGTGGAAGTGCCGCCCCCTCCCTGGGGTCCTCATGACACCCCGGGGTTCCCGAGCTCTCCCACCTGGCCCAGGGGTCACCGATTGCCTCCCACTCAACACAGAATCCCCACCTGGCTAACCTCTCTTCCTACAGCAGGCCAAAACCCACACTCTGGTTCTGCCAAATTCCACAGGCAGGGGTTCCAGGCTCGTCGCTGCTGGCCTCATCCCTGCCCCAGCTCCCTCACCAGCTCTCCATGCAAGCGAGCTCGTGGTGAGTCTGCAGGACGTCCTAGGAAGTGGGGGACCTTGAGGAGTCTCCTCGCTTCCCCGCTGCTCCTCCAAACGCAAACACGTTCCTCCCCTCGCACAGCGGCCAAGGGGTTGTCGGCTGTGGCATGGACGCTCCCCAGTCCCAGGCTCGTGGGCCTCTGGCTCTTCTGGCTCCTGCCTCAATGACCCGCTCCCCACTTGAGTCTCTGCCCACCCATCACAGGAGGAGTGGCCCCCAGTTGGCTGTGGCTGGGTTGAGAACTATCCTTGGCGGTGTCAAGACCACTTCATCGGCAGCAGGGAAAGGACCCCTCGTCCTGGGGCCAGGGCCACAGAACAGGCACAGCGAGGTTTCTTTCCCACTTCTTGCCTTTCCTCTTTTCTGCTTCCCTGGGAAGGGAGGTAGGATTTCTGAGCCCTCTTGGACGTGTCATGGGCTCCCTGGAGCAGACGGGGTGGGGGGTACCGTGCTTGGTGGGAGTGTGGGTGGTCGTGGGTGCCTGGCCCCAGGGGCAGGGTGGGAGGGTATGGGGGGCAGCAAGGCTGTACCCGGGGCAGCGGCCCCCCTGCCGGCTCCACTTGGCAATCCCTTCTCCCACTGGTTAGCTCTACCCCTACTTCCCCCCGCCCACATGTTTTGGGGTTCAGTATGTAGGGATGCACATGTGGGGCCAGGGTCAGTGCATAGGGGTGCACACACGGGGTCAGGATCAGCACGTAGGGGTGCACACGTGGGGTGGGGATCCGTGTGTAGGGTGCACACGCGGGGTGGGGATCAGTGCGTAGGGTGCACACGCGGGGTGGGGATCGGTGCGTAGGGGTGCACATGCAGTGCTGGGACCAGTCCTTAGGGGTGTGCATGCAGGGTCGGTGTGTAGGGTGCACACGCGGGGCCAGGGTTGGTGTGTAGGGGTGCGCACGCGGGGCCGGGATCAATACCTAGGGGTGCGCACCCGGGTCATGACATGGTAGGCCCTGGTGCTCTCAAAGGCAGCAGTCCTGGGGACCTACACTCTGTGGCAGCTGCCGGTGGCAGTCCCCACCAAGCCTGTCCGCAGGCTCTCCTGCCTGAGGCATGGAGCAGATGGTCCTACCCTCGCCAAGGTTCAGGCTGTGGCCACCCCACAATGCCTTCCCCCACAGACCCATCCCGCCTGTCCTCAAGGCCCTGTTCCAGCTCAGGACAGACTGTGCCAGAGTTAAGGGAGTGTCGTCTGTTGGTCTGCATAAGGCTTGCGTGGCCCTCAGCCCTGCTCCACTCCGGGGCCGGGAGACGCTCACGGATGTTGTGGAAGTGAGGGAAGGGGCTTGGCCGTCCCTGCCAACCCCAAGCTGGCACGTGCCTTCCCTGCCCTCCCAGGGCTGGTCCCCAGCAGCAGCCACAGTGAGCTGCCCACAGACCCAAGGCCACACGCTCCTCCTCCTCCATCTCGACTTCAACGTCCTTGCAAGAGGCAGATCCCAACTCTGGCTCAGCCCCTGCTTCCTCATGGTCATCACCACCCATCCCCAGGCAGGGGCTGTGGCCATGGGCCACCGTGTTGGGCCTCCCATGCTGCCCACCCCAAGGCCACGTCAGTGAGGGAACAGGTGAGCCAAAAGGTGCACATCAATGCTTCTGTGGGGAGAATATCCAGATCATTCCTGCACCTGGAATTCGACGCTTAAAAAAGGACACAAAAGACCACCAGCAGGACTTAAAATTCTGTTTTTCTTGAAAAACAAACGAAAAACTCTACACACACAAAAAAAACCCCTGAACTCCCCACCCTGCACCAGCTAAGTGCAACAAGTTAGCCACGGATGGGAAAAGAGAGACGTTATGCCACACACGCCTTTATGCAGCAGGTGTCCTGGCCATGCCGCTATAGCCAGGAAGCACAGGGACGCATGGGGACGCCAGGACCACGGGACACTGTGTAGCAGCAAGGATGGACGCCAATTCTGCAAATAAATATACACGGTGCCAACAGAAGCCTTAAGTCAGTGACATATCAGGTCAGGATGAGACAGCAGAACCACTAACAAACGCTTGCTGGTTATGATGGTTTGCTTTAAAAAAAAAAACTATGCCCGACAAACGTTGAGTACTCGGGACCCTCTGTCAGTAGAGAGCGGTCAGAGGAGTGGAGTCTCCACCTTGCCCAGATTGCCACCATGGAAGTGTCGCCCCGTGTCTGCACGGCGCCTTCCAAGGGGCCCTGGGCTGGGTGGGGGGCAGCGGCTCCAGGAACTGCAGCCTGGACCGCCAACCCGCCTTCACAGCATGCTGCAGAACTGCCCGTGGGCCCTCAGTGCCCCCACCTGGTGAGAAGGGACCCCCGCCCATCCCTGCAAGACTGATGATGCCCCACTTCCCCACACCCGCCTACAGGAGGCTGGGGCGGGCTGCCGCAGGAAGGCTGCCATGGTCCGGCCAAGGCCATGGGGCTCCTGCATCTTCCTAGAGCCAGCCCTGTGCTCTGGCACAAAGCAGGAGGGACAGCTGGCCAGCTTCTCAGCCTCCTGAGCTGCTTTCAGGTTTCTTTGGGCCCGGCAGGTCACATGGGGGTCCTGGAGCCCAGAAGGAGGGCCACAGGCCATGCCAACACTCACGTGGCCCTGGGGACAGCAGCCTCTCTGGTGGTAGCCTGATGTCCAAGGGCTCAGCTCAGCGGTCAGAGGACAGGACAGAGCCACCCAGCACCAAAGATCGGGGCCTGGCAGGGTACACTGACCTCAGCTGCCCACCCCCGGAAGGAATGGGAACGACAAAGACAAGCCTGAGGAGTCACAACAGCCTCCGAAGCAGGTATAGTTAGAGTGGCCCCAGCTTCCCAGCAATGGAGTCAGGCCTGCAAGGGCCGTGCAGTGAGGGCAGCACCCCCACCAGGAGCCGGAACCAGTTCCTGGTGGTTTGTTGGGCTGCCGGCCAGCTGGCAAGGCCAGGGAAGCCCATTAGGGGTCATGGTGGCTGCCTTTCTTATCTGGTTTGTCATAGAAGATTTTGAGTGTTGAGTCTCTGCCTGGAAGAACCATAGGTCAGTCCAAATACCGGATGGAGAACAGTCCAGAAGCAGTGCTACCCAAGGCCCACACCCAGTGGGCACAGGGGTTGCCCGAGTCTTCCTGCAGTTGTGCCCTTGCACACAATGGCATCCAGTGTGGGATGCATGAGGTCAGAAGCCTGGTGTGTCCTGGGTGACCCAGGGTGACCCTGGGAGCTGGTTCTGCTCTTTGGTCCGGTGGCACACACGGGTGGGAGCTCAGGACGATCCAGCTGCCCGTGACCTCTGCTCAGGGCCCACACCTGCGTAGACACCAGGCGCAGAAAGCCTCCGTCTGCTGAGCTGGGGGCCAGTGTCACTCTCTGAAGGCAGCTGTTCTGGTGACTTTCTCTTCTCTCTTCTGGGGGTCGGGGAGGGGTCTACCCCTGGGTCTTTAAGGCAAAGAGATCTAAGTCCCGAGACTAGTTTCACTAAAGTCACTACGTCTACAACAACAAAAGAAAGCCAAGCGCTTGGTCTGGGCTGCTGTCTTGTCAGTGCATCTCTGAGGTCCGCACAGCGAGGCCGGAGTCCTGGTTGCTCTGCTCGTGGGACCGGAGTGTTTGGTGCTCAGAAGCCCTCACTCCCTGGGTGACGTGCTGGGCCGGGCACGGTGCTCTGCACCAGCACCTGGTCCCTTGACACATATCACACACTGCAGGGGGTGCGGGGGGACAAAACTCCCTCTACTCCTTCTCATTTCTTTAGAAAATAATCTCTTGGTAGCATCAACTTGACCCAAAATTTAAGTTAAAAAAATAATACAAATAAAGGTGGGAAGGAAGAGGGCCCAACATGGCAAACAGTCAGTCTGTGGAGGGTCAGGGGCCTGGCCTCTTCTTATGGTCATGGAGGTAAGGATGGAAGTTAGCTTTCTAGGACTGAACTCGTACCAGTGTTCACTGTGGCCCCAGCCCCCTGACCTGGTGGAGGGACAATGAGGGGCGCTCAGCTGAGCTGCCTGGATGACAGGACCAGAGTCGCTTTTCAAGGGGGTATGAGATGTTTTAACAGGATCTTTGCGCGTTCTCTTTCCGGCAGCTTCCTAGCCCTTCTTGCTTACGTCTCCTGAGGCACCACCTGCATGAGCTTCTGGCACAGGACCGTCGTGGAAACTGTGGGGGGACAGCGAGTTAGGTCAGGGGTACCAGTGGGGGATGTGGGCTGTAGCTCACCCCATCCCCATGGCCACATCGTCCAGGGCTGCAGGTGTGGCCAGAAACCCAGGGCTCTATGTGAAAGCTACTGAAGCTCACATGTGCCCAGGGCCCGTGGGCCTCCCTGCCACTGGGTGCCAGCCTGCACATCTGCCCCGACTGTGTAAGTCACCCAGCTGGTGTGGCCGAGGAACCTAGCAACAGGCAGGCTCGGGCCTATCCCCAAGCTGTTTCAGAGCCCAGGGCCCTTCTAAGGGTCTGGGCAGACACCAGGTCGGGCAGCTGGCAGGCCCTCCTCAGGATGACCACTGCTCGCCCATGGTCCTGCAGAGGGGCTAGAGCAGGTGCGCGAGTCCCAGGGCCCAACAGACGCCTGTCGTGCACAGACTGCAAGTGCTCACTGTGGGCGATTTCAGGAGGGAGGGGGTTCCTTGCTGTGGCGTACTCTAAGATGACCGACAGGCAGGTGCCCATGAGAATGCAGGATGGCCACCTGGTGTGCACTGACTGGGGCGCAGCCCACAGACCCCGGGCTTGCCTAGGAGCCTTTCACTTCAGACATGATTGCAGGAAAGGGTCTTAAATGGGACTTGTCAACGGAGCCCAGGACTGCACTACCAGGATCCTTCACTGTCCTTCTCTGCCTTTCTAGGTCAGCCGGCTGTGTTTAAGCTGGCGACAGACGGTGGGGTTTCATTACTTGGCAAGAGCAGCCTGGTTCTCTGGAATCCCTTGTTTTGAGATTAGCTGGTGCCAAGCTGAGCGTCTTATCCCTGAAATACGCGGGCCAGACGTCACTGCCAAACACACCACAGCGCCCTAAACCTCAGTCAGCACAGTCAACGCCTGTTGCCCAATTCCAAAGGCTCAGCCTCACTGCCGGCCCCTCAGCCAGGGCCTCAGCCACCTCTCGGCGACCCTGGCTGACCCTGGGACCTGCGCTGCTCCTCAATGGAGGGGATAGATCAGAGCTGCAGAGAGCCCTGCTCTGGGGCACGGTATAGAGGGTCCCAGAGCAGGAACGGAGGGAGGCCCCAGCAGGTACTCACAGATGCCCTGGAGGAGCCACTTGGGCTTGTTTTTCCACCAGACCCCCAAGAAGTAGACCGGCAGGCCACTGAGGATTATGGTGAAGCCAATGCCACACTCCACGGGGGTCTTCCAGAAGGAGACGGCGATGAGGAACAGGCAGGCCAGGATGAAAAATACTGGGAGGGCCAGGTTCACCTGGGGATGGGGGGGGAGGTTGGAGCTGATGCCAGGCAGCCCGGCACCCCCTGCCCACACCTCCCACTGTCTGTGGTCACAAGTCCTGTCCACCCTGCTGAAAGCTCTGCATCTCCTGTGCCCTCACCGGAAGCATCTTCTCCCTTGGGACACCCGGGATACAGGGTGTGCCCCCTGCTCTGAGCCACTCCTAACTTCCTGGCCGACCTAGGAAGGGCTCTGACCTCCAGGGCCTGTTCCAGCCTTTGCTGGCTCCAGCCTGCCTGGTTTTCCGAGTGGACCTCACCCTGTTCTCCCAGCATGTGCCCTGAGCACTTGGAGCCGGGCAGTAACCACTCAAAACACAGAGGGTGCTGATGCATGAGGGAAACACCCAGCTCAGTCCCTGAGGCTTCCCAAGGTCAGGGAAGGTCAGCCTCCCTGGTTCCATCCCAGGGTGGAGACGTTTGCCCAGCACCCAACCCACGGTCACCCAAAGGAGGGGCCCGGCACTGCTGGGAAGACCGTGGGCCCCCGCTAATAACACAGCAGCACCCGCCTCCTCAGAGCCCTTGTGTCGACAGGCGGGGCTGCAGTCTGCACACCACAGGCACACGGCCCACCCACAGAGTTCAAGGCAGAGGAGCGGCGTCTGCTTCCTCATGCCTTCTGCCGGGCAGGCTCATCTCCACATGCAATCAGTCTGTCTACACGCTGGTGTCTACACACCGGCAGAAAGCCCAGGGGATGAAGGATGAGCAAGGGTTCCCCGAGGTCAGCCCACAGGGCATGCCCCACCTGGCCCTAATGGGACAACACCCACCACAGCCCTTGCTAACAAGGGGACAGTGCCCAGCTTGTGTCCAGGCCGAGAGAGAGATAGAGCCCACCACAAGCAAAGGCCACAATGACCCAGGCCGAGGCTGCCTCGGTCTCCCCAGAAGAACCCCTGCTGGACCCCACTGGTCTCTGTTGAGACAGCTGGGGGGAGAGCCAGGGAGGAGGCTTGTGGACAGGTGCCAACTGCGAGGAGCCATGCACCAGAACTGGACAAGGGACAGGGGCTGTTGACCAGTGGCCACTTGCTGGCCATGGTGTGCACGTGGGGCTGTAGCTGACCTCTCAGCAGGAGTGCAGGCTTCACCAATGCCCCTTCTCAGAGAAACAAGGTCACCCTAGGGCCTAGGGAGCTGGGCCCCAGTATGGAGCTGACCAGGGCCAGCACCCTTCTTTCTTCTGGGCTGGCCGAGGCCAGGGTGGGCACTGAGGCCAGCTCCACCTCCGCCCACCTGTTCTCCCTCTTGCCCTGGCGCCTGCCCTCCCCGCCCCCCCCCCCGCCCTACGGTGCTCATCACGCATCCACCTGGCACTTTCTTACTCATGTCTCTCCGATGGAGCTAGGGGCGGACATAGGGATCTAATTTGTTCTTTGATGACCCCCAGCACTTTAAGAAGTTCTTGATAATAGCCATCAGGTGAACTAGGTATCCCTCTGTCTAGTTCGAACACAAGTGTGTTCATGTGTATCTTGCTGGATCCTTACCAGGACATTCTGGAGAAAGTACCCTGACCGCTGGTTTGCACCGGGAAGATGCGGGCTCAGAGGAGGACAGTGCCAACCCAGGACTCTGGTGGACACTCAGACTCTGTTTCTGGGGTGCACAACTCTGCCGAACCCTTGACCGGCCCTCGGTGTGCCGTAGCCCGTGCTGCGCCGGATCAGCCCACCCCTCACCTTGATGGGCCGCTCTAGCTCAGGCTTCTTGTAGCGAAGCCACAGCATCCCGGCGATGGCCAGGGCCACACAGAGCCAGTTGAAGAAGCTGAAGAAGTTGATGACGGAGAAGATGTCTCTGGAGAAGGCGTAAAGCAGGGTCATGATGCACTGCAAGATGAGAGAGGGGCCAGGTGAGGCCTAGGTGGGGCCCAGGAGCAGGGCAGCCTTGAGGCAGGGAAACCACGCTTGCTCACTCTTGTTCTGAAGGGGAGGCCTGGTCTGAGCAACACTTGGGCTCTCAGAGAGCACAGCCCCGCAAACAGGATTCAGTCGGTTCCTGGACGGTGCAGAAAGGGAACACCCAACCGTACGCTGGCTGCAGCGTTACTGTGACACCACGAGCTGTGGCACATTCAGGCACTGCACGCCATGCAGCGGTTTCAAAACTAAGATCGAACTCTGCAGCACCTTAAAGCTCAACCAAAAATCACTGGATCCTTCTCTCTTCAAGAGGTGGGCCAAAGCCCTCTCCGTCCCTGAGTTGGGCTGTACCTGTGGACTTGCGCTCCTAACACAGAAAAACACAGTAGTGATGGAGCGTGACTTCTGACGCCAGGTCACAGAAAGTGTGGTGGCTTTCTCCTTTTGCCACCATCAGCTGGCACGCTCTGGGGCGCCTAGCACCATGTCGTGAGGACGCTTACACAGTACCCATGGAGCCACATCCTGCAGCAGAGGAACTGTGGCCTCCTGCCTGCGGCTGTGTGGGGAGCCATCTGGGAAGAGGCACCTCCAGCCACAATCGAGCCTCCAGTTGGGACAGCATCTTGACTGCCATCTGGATCTCCACCTCATGGGGAACCCTGCACCAGGGCAGGACTCCCAGAATCAGATAACATGTGATTCCCCTTTCCCCTGTGTGTGGGGTGCTGTGCTGCAGCGGCAGAGAGCTCCTAACGCTGCGTATACCCACACAGACAGACGAAGACGGGCCAAAGGAAGGCACGTTGTAACGTGATCTCACACAAAAGTGGAGGCTGGGTGTGCTGTGCACACCATGAACATGCCCACAAAGCTCTGATATGTCTCTTCAGACAGCTTTTGCTTCACACACTTCCAGACTGTTTAGAGGTCTTTTGTTTTACAACCACTGCGTGTAGTTTTTGGAATTAAAAAGAAAAAAAAAATCCATGAAGCACAAGGTGAGGAAATGCTCACACTAATTATCTGTGTATCTGTGCTGGCCTCAGGTGGACAGTAGGGGACAGGCTTCATGGGGAGAACGTGCAGCCTCCCTCCCTCGGTGTCCTGCAGGGGAGCCCCTCAGACAGGTCCTGAGGGACATGCTCGTCTCCCGTTTCAACCTGCTTGCCATTCCCCCAGGGACAGAGGACAGGATGCCGGACAGTACTGCTCGCTTACCGTAAACACAAGGGAAGGCATGGGTGTCAGCAGCTGTGGGTGGATCATGGAGAGGATGGAGGGCAGGTGGCCCTCCCTGGACCCCACGAAGAACAGCCTGTGAACAGAAGTGGGCATTCAGCCTTGTCACCATGCACCCCAGGCAGGGCAGGGAGTGGAGAGGGCCCAGGCCCAAGGGCTGGGCTCCCTCCGGGGGCTTCCTGGCATCCCTGATGGGCTCGGCTGGCGAGGGGGGAGACTCAGCCTTCCTTACCTCCAATCCCCCTGGGCAGGGTTTTGAAATGAACCCATGAAAGAGTCCAGAAGGACACAGCTGTGTCACCTCTGGGCAGGGTCCGGGGGTCAGAGTAGAGTTCATGGTTCCCTTATTTCTGTAGTACTCAAACATGACAAAACAAAATCCAGAGCACACATGAGAAGGCAGTGAGTGTGCACTGGCTACCCACTGCGACAGCGGAGCCTCCCACCTCCCAGAGCCTGGGTGACAGCTCACCTAGAGGACGTGAAGAGGGACCCGTTGACGGAGCCGAAGCAGGACAGGCCCACGAAGACAGGGATGATCCAGGACATGACTCCCAGGTGATAGGTCCCGAAGTCCTAGGCAAACACTGAGCATGAGTCCCGTGGCCCTGGGGCTCCCCAGCACAGGGCTCCACCTTCACCTGGACGACAGGTGTCCTCATAGCCTAGCCCTGGCACATTTCCATCTGCATGGCTTCCTACATGCTCATCCTGAGACTTCTACACATGGAGTGACCCCTGGGGGTCTGGACTTTAGGGGGCAGCCCCAGAGACGGGACTTTGTGTATTAGCACAGGGCCCTGCGCCTCACTCCCTGTCCACCCTCTTGGGCGCTCCTCACCCTGCTATACGCCAGGCTGGCCACGGTCTCCCCCTATCAGCACATCTGCTCCAGAGGGGAAGGGGCGCACTGCTGTCCCTGGCTGAGCTCCTGGTGCCCTCCCAGAGCAGGGCTTGGTGTTTATCCAGAAGATGGAATGGCTGGTGCTCCAAGAGCTGAGTCCACCAGCTCTGGGGCCACCCGGCTTGGTCTGAGGGCTGACAAGGCACCCAGCCAGCTGCCTCCATGGGGCCTAGGTATCCTATGCCCCGCCGCTGAAGCCAGTGTCCAGAGTGTCCAGCAGAGGAGGCTCAGGATGCACCCAGGCCGCGGATGGGGCAAGGCCACCCCTCTGCCCCTCCCATGCTCAGGGCTGGAGACCTCTCTTGCCTGGACTCACCCTAGGCCCAGCCGTGTTCAGGGCAGGACCACTGCACATGCTGACCTAAATCTGGCCTGGGGAGGCTGGGCACCGACACTCTCAAAGACCCCATGAGTCTCACATGAGCCAGGGTGAGGAACGAGCACCCTACTCTTTCTGGGGGTTGGCAAAATACAGTTCGACCCCTCTGAGTAGGGTGTGGTTCTTGGATGGGAGGGGCCGAGTCTGATCAGCATCGAAGGCTCAGAGGGGGCAGGTGGGCCTCTCAGTGACCTGGCTGGGCTGGCAGGTGGCATCTTACCACAGCCACAGCCTCTGACGTCAGCATCTGCTCTGTGGACAATGTGGTGAAGTAGGCCAGGTTCGTCAGCACGTACACCAGGGTGACGATGGGGAGGGAGATGATGATGGCCAGGGGCAGGTTTCTGGAAGGCACAGGAGGGACACATTATCAGAAGGCAGCTCGGCATGCAGCTGGACCAGATGCCTCTAACACACGGTGGCTGGGTCCTGAGCCTCACTGCGTGGGGAAGGTGGTGAGTGGCAAGACTGTTCCCAGCTTGGGTGAGTGGCTGGAAGCTGGCAGGTGGGTGGCTGGGTGACCCTGGGCCAGCAACTCAAGCCCTCCAGCCTTGTGCCCTGATCTTGCAGGGGAGCCTTGTTCCAAGTCACGCGGCCACTGTGCGGCCAGTGTGGGGACAGAAACCAGCGCCCTGCCCTAGCATGGATCCTAACCCCAGAGCCCTCAGGAAGGCCTTGCGCTCGTCTGAGGCAGGGCCCCTGGGTGGCCCGGAGAACGAACCAGGCTCCCTCCCTCCCTCAGAGAAGTCTCTGTTCGTACTCATACCTGTAGGGATTGATCATCTCCTCTGTGACAAAATTCAAGTAATTCCTGGAATTGAGAAAGCAGAATTTAATTATACGTCCCTCCCACCATCACTGGGGGAAAGAACACAGATCCCACGGGGGCTCCTCCTGGCTGTTCTGGGCTCATGGATGGGGATCCCCACACCCACCTCCAGAAGCCCCTCGGGGAGCAGCTGGGGACACAGGGGACAGGAGGCATCATAGCAAGGGCTGCAGACAGGCCCCTCGCTCCTGGGGAGGAGACATCAAGAACCTCCAAGCCCAGCACTTCGCGTCTAAATGCTTTATGCACATCAGCAGAGGTCTGTCTATAGGGACAGCTTCTCAGGGGCCCAGGTGCGCTGCGAACAGTGCCCAGGGCTGCCCCGCACGCCTTCCATGCTCTTCTGGGTTGCAAGTGGCTAGCAGCAACTCCAAGAAGCTTTCCCACCACGCTCCGAAACTGCCCACAGATGGCCAAGAGACCGGATTTTGGGATACTTCAGGGCCCACCCACCATGTGTGTCCCGAGGGCCAGAGACCCAGACATTCTAGAACTTACCATCCCCCATAAGCAAAGAGGCCACTGTACAACGCCAGCACAATGTTTCCCACATCCAGCTTGGTGCCCTCAAACGAAAACTTAGGATCCAGATTGGACACGTCACCTGGCAAAGGCCAAACAGACAGGAAGGAATGCCGGGTTAGAGAGCACTGCGAAAAGGTCACACCACAAATTCTGGAATGTTCCTGGAGCAAAATACAGTCACAAACAAAAATGCCAGGGTGAAGGCTTTCCACGGCAACAAATTGAATGCACCTGCTGAGCCAGCTAGCCACAGCATTCCCAGACTTACCCGGGGTCAGGAGCAAGCAGACGCAGGTGAGCAGGATTCTGCTGTGACCCAGGGGACATGACCCCCAAGAGGCCCCTAGCTCACCCGACACAGGGAGGCAGCTCCGCAGACCTTCGGCCATTCCAAGTGCTAGCCGACCGCCCAAGAGCTGGGGGATGGATGCCCCGATGGGCTAGTGCAGGGGCATGTATGCGTCCACCTGTGGTTCATGCAGGCAGGAGCAGGGGCTGATCAGCCTTGGTCACACTCCCCGCAGAACCCGTGACATGTGTCCCAGCTCAGGGGCACCCGGGCTCGAGTCTTTGCTTCCCCTTAGTGCTGGGAGAATCTTGGGCTGCTAACCCCAAACCCAGGCTCCCCGTTTATGTGACAGAGCTCAGAGTGTGACCCATCCGCAAGGGTCAGCAAGGAACTTCCTGAAACCGACTCAGATCTGTCCCTGGATATGCTGCTCCTGAGAGACTGCAGTGGCCTGAGGTGACACAGGGATGTGCCTCTGGAAAGCGTGGTGTCTGCAGGGACATTCAGCGCAAGCACCTCCCAGACAGCTGTCCCTGGGGGCATCGCAGCCTCAGTCCTCCTCCTGGGCAGACGGCACCAGGGCCCTGCACAGCTCCGCCCAGCACACTGCTGACCGTTTCAGCCAGGAGCGGCTCAGGTGCCCCCATCTCTGCCCCGCCCTCTCGTGGCCTCTCTGCTGTGTCTCCCCTTTGTGTCTATCAGAACACGTGACACTGGATTTAGGGCCCACCCTGATTCTTCCCACAAAGACATCTGCAAAGACCCTTTCTCCAAATAAGGGCACAGTCACAAGTCCCTGGGAAATGGGTGTGTGTTCACACCCGACCTGGCACACGCGATGGGAAATGTGGGTGTTGGGAGGGACTCTGGCTACGGGGGTTCTTTCTGTGGCTCAGCAACACTGTCCATAAGATGGCTCTGGACGCTCAGGCCCAGAAGCCCTGGCTCCATAGTGAGGGGCCAGCCCCACACCTTTTCAACACCTGGCTCCCCTGCTTGGGATGGCTGCAGCAGGGACATGTACCTGAGATAGCGGGTGCCCAGGGACACAGCCAGCCCAGCCCCTCAGCCCACCTGCTAGTGGCCAGCCTTCCAGGCACACACAAACCTGGAGGGGCTGCATGCTTGGTTGGGTGCGGATCACTAGAGCACTGCAAAAAGGTCACACCACAAATTCTTCAGGGCTCTGGATGTGAAGGTCTGTGTCCCCGTCCAGCTGAGAAGCCATGGGCCCAGGCTGGGCTGGGGCTCGGGGGCCCCACATGGGTCATTGTCACCCATGGTGGGTGGGTCTGTAGGACCCTGGGGAGCCCAAGACCTCCCACTTCTCCCACAAGGTGACAGCCTCCTATTAACCCAGAACAGGACCCGGTGGCAATATGGGAGGAGGTTTGCCGAGGGGAGCATGGAAGGGAGCTTCCCATAAAGCCCTGTCATCTTGTGCAGCAGAAGCCTGCACTTGCAAAGCAGCTCAGGTCTCCAGCACACAGTGCAGTGGGGAGGGGCAGGACGGACCCCAGAATTCTTGTTTCTGGATCTGCCTTCCTGTGGCATTCCCGCCCCCGCCCCGAGCTTGTTTGCCCGGCCACCACAGGTCAGCTTATGCCTTTGATCTCAAATCTGAGCTGGGAGATGGACATGGGACCTGAGAGGCGCCCAGCCCCCACTGCCCTGAGGCCACGGTCTCATGATGAGATGCACAGGCCCCGGGGTGGCCGGCACCTCACCCAGGCGCATGGGACCTGTCTAGGAGGCCCAGGTCCTGGGACTGCCTGGTCACAGGGTAGTCAGCAGCCTGGGTTGCCGGGGGCGGTGCAGAGAGCTGGCTCAGGACAACACACCCTTCATCCAACAGCACCCAGAGCCCCTCTGGGCTCCCTCCTGGTGGCTCCCCCATGGAAACGGGCCGGAATGTGCACTCCCTCACACCTGCAGAGCACTGCCACTTCCCTGGCCTTGTCCACGTACGTCTACTATCCAACAGCTAGAGAAACGGAGGCTCAGGCTATCTGCCCTGGGGCTGGGCAAGCGCCCACGTGCATGGGATCCAGGACCATGACTGGAGACTCACCTCGTGCTTGAGCCCGAGTCTACACCACCCCACTCCTCCCAGAATGGCCCGGCTGCTCCTAAGAGTCTGGAGGAACCCGCTGAGACGGCTCCCACTCCCCCAGACCTGCTGAGGACTGCAGGTGGGAGTCCCGCAGCCACTTCTGGAGCATGGGAGGCTTTCCACGAAAAAGCCCCCTCCACGTACTACACGGGTGTCTGGAGCCTATACTTTCTCATTGATCTACTCCATTTCCTACTGAAGTACACCTCTATGTATCCTGTCTGTTATTCAAAGTAAAGTTTTTTTCCCCATATGTAGATATAGATTTTGGTGCAGCTGTTAAAACTGGCTCCCACCTGAAGTAGTGACACTGTGTGTGCACATGTGTGTACCGTATATTCACGTGTGTGCACATGTGGGTCGGAGACATTCCATGCAGAGGGATGGCTGTTGCTTTTGTGGCTTTGGGGTTCCACCAAAGCCTGGTACAGGAGATGTAAAACGTGGGTGCCCAGAGGGTCCCTGGCTACCAGGGGTACAGCGCTGGGGCAGGGATGAAATTCAAGGCGTGTAAGAAGCAGGTGCTTTCAGCCTCGAGAAGGCCTGTGCAGCCTCAGTTTCCCTCAGGCGCTACTTCCACTGTGGCTACCAGCTCAGAGCTGGGACATACACAGTCGTCTCCCAGAGACGGTCATGCTGGGGGTGGAATTCCTGATGTACAACAGTACTGTCTACATTTACAGCCTGATTTTACAGCATCTAAAACTCCAAGAAAATACTAGCTGCCCTGACCAAACACAGATGGAAGGATGTCCCTGGGGGTCTCAGCCAGTCCCCTCCCAAACAGCCCATAGAGACTTCTATTCCTAGGACAAGTGTGGCTGGGCCATCTGTGGGACCTTCCCTGGTCATCTGAGAGCCCATAACCTGCCTGCGAGGTGCCCCAAGTCCTTTGGAGGAAAGCAGGCAGCCAGGTGCACAGAGGGACCACACTCCCAGACCCTGCAGCACTGAGCGTGATCAGTAGACCCAGTTTCTCCCCTGGCATGGGGTGAGGGAGCACGCAAAGCTCTGCCAAGGATGTGGCTGCCAATCAACCCTCTGCCAAGTTCCTCTGGGCTGTCACTCACCCGATCATCTCCCATAAACGCAGCATGCTGCACCCTAGAGACAAGGGAGGGATCTGTAAGTCAACCGCCCAGAGGGGGAGGCACACATGCGCCCCTGCAGGGCTCCTGGGTTTGTTCAGACTAGCCTGTGTTGGACACCGGCCCAGAAGGGAGGACCATAGCTTCTCTAGGCTCCTGACCAAATGCCAGCCAAGCATGCTGCCCCTCCTTCTCGAAGGCACCAGGGAGCAGGCACTGGGTCTGGGTGGCCGCTAAGAGACAGGGGCCACGCCTGCCCTCGCTGCCCTGGTGTCCTGCTGGGGCTGGAGCCCTAACTACGGGGGGGCTTTAAGGAGGTTTGCAGAATTGGCAGGAGGGCCCACCCATCTCCAGGCTGGCTCCAGCGAGAAGCGGGTGAGGCAGCCACACCTCTGATTCATGATGGGTGTTAGCAGCTGCGCCGTGCCCAGGGCCACTGAGGTGGTGAGTAGGGGCGCAGAGGAGACGTGGAGCCCTCCTGGGGGAGGGCAGGTTCTAGAATCCACGTGTAGTCCCAATCACCCACCTGTCCTCTGCAACCAGGGGGCATTTGGCAATACCTGGAGACACCTGGGATTGTCAGGGCTGGGGTGGGGGTGCGCTGGTACATGGAGGCAAGCAGTGCTGCTCCACTCTCTGGGATGCAGAGGACAGCTAACCCGGATGGCAGCAACACAGGGCAGGGCTCTGCAGCTCTGGAGGGTAATGACACATGCTTGGCCTACAGGCCACGGCTCCCACCATTGGGGTGCATCGGATACAGATGAATGACAAGTCCCCCCGAAGGCCACCGTGCTCCAAGCTACGCTGTAGCTCTATGTCACTCCGAGAGCAGGCAAGAATATGATCGTGATGGGCAGAGAGAAGTTCAGGTCCCCCTGCTGGCTTCAAGAGTGGGGGATAAGCACCCCAGAACCCCACAGTTTAACGGAGTCCCCTGTGCCATCACCCCTTGTCTGGGGCTTCTCTGCAGACCTCAAAGCTACCTCTAACCTGCTGTCCAAAGAGAAGGGAGGTCAGCTCAGGGTGGGTTCCGACCCTCTGCTCACCTGCATTGCAGGCAAGTGCCCCGTACCTTCAAGTCTGCCTCTTCCAGCCCTAGAATGCAGCCACTGACAGTACTCTCCCAGAAGGGCCGCGGGAAAGGGAATGCCAGTGCACAACCAGATGCTGGGCCTGTTGGCAAACTGCAATGTCACAGCAGGGCCTGCCTCCTGCCCACTGGGACCCCTTTGAGAACTGGGGTATTTGGGGTGGGAATGCTCCAAGGCCCCAGAGGACAGTCTCAGGGAAGCCAGCCCAAATTCCTGTGTCACCCAGACACAGCCCCAGGAACCATCAACGGGTGTCCAGCAGCTCCGAGCACGTGGGGACAGGAGTGGGCCTTCTTCGCGCCCAGGGAGCGTGCCAGCCCCATGGCTGCTGACTGGGAGGACCAATGCTCCCCACAGGGCCTGCCTCCTCAACATGGCCTGCCTGGCCTCTCTACATGGGGGAAAGGCCTGGTCTGATGCTCATCAGGGCTTCTCCAGGGCCTCTGGAGCCTGTCAATGTCCCGATCTGGAGACGGGCGGTAGAGGCAGCAGCAG